GTCACCTACTCATGTTGTTGACAGAATTTAGCACCGCAGTCCACGCTCAGGTGCACTGAAAATAAAACAGTGAAATGATTCAGCAGCCAAATGGATGTTTATGTTCAAGTTGTTTGTCCAGAAATGTTTTATATGTTCAGTATATGTGAAGTATACCGTCGCTATCCAGTGAGAAACGTGTCTCAGTTGTTCTCAACCTTCACTTTTCTATATCATTTGAACACAGCAGCCCTTCTTCACATTGTGTGAAAATTTTCATGACGAATGGACCAATAAAAATGCTCCAAAATCACTTAGAATAAAACCTCTTTATGTTAACGTATCGCTGGTGTTGGAACAAAACCTTGTTTCTCCAAAAACATCTCCAAACTTTACAGGAAAAGGAAAAACATGCACAGCTTTTAATAGAAGTAAATGGAGAAATCATTTTTTCCAAGTAATTTTGGACCATTTCTGTTGGTCCATTCATCATGAAATTTTGACACAACGTAAAGCAGGCGTGCACAACTCCGGTCCTGGAGGGCCGGTGTCTAGCACAGTTTGGTGATTTGCCTGCTCCAACACACCTGATTACACTTATCTGTTTATTGACAGGTTAAATTGGGTGTGTTTGAGCAGGGAAACCACCAAACTGTGCTGGGTAACGGCCCTCCAGGACTGGAATTGTGCAAGCCTGACATAAAGGGCAGCAGCCTTTTTCAAATTATGTCAAAAAATGAAAAAAAAGTTAAAAGTTAAAAGTTTTTTATTTGAATTTTATTATTTTTTTTATTATCTTCGATCTAATAATGGCTGTTATTTTCACTACATGGTAATTTCAGCAGTGCTATTATTAGAATATCAGGCTTTATTAGGATTTGTTGAACGCAGGTCAGTTTTAGACTCAGAACATGATGATATGGGTCTGGCCAGGCTCGGGCAGAAAGTTCAGGTGTGATTAAAGCTCTAGTGTGCATGTCTGTGTTGGTGATGGTAAAATGGATCAGTAAATGGAACTGGAGAGTTCTGTGAGCTACACTGTGTTACAGAAGTGTCATGCTGCCTTTATTGTTGGATTCACTGTGTTAGTTTCTGAGCCAGTGAGCGCACACACTCAGAACACAATTCTGCTATGGAAACACTTGTTGTTGATCGTTATACAATATATATATGTGTAAAAATAAAAGAAAACTGAACGGTGAAGTATATTCCTATTCAAGTTTGCTTGTCAAAAAAGTAGTTCATGAAAAAATGAATTTTCATAAGATTAGCTTATCATTACAATTTTTGTAAGATGACCTCCTCAACATTGAGAAAGCTGATAATTAACATAGAATAGTAAAGAGGAGAAACACATGCTTTTTTGTGTTGATCTTAAAGTGTTAAAAGGTGCATGAAGACTGAAAAAAGTCATTCATTACATTTACTTGATTCGTTATTGTCAGATAAATCTATCACATTAATACAGTTATTGCTGAATGTAAGTAAATTGAAAAACAAAATTGTGCTGTTATTCTGCTGTTCAAGAGTGTGGAATCAGTGTTTTCAATAGATTATGGTAGCAGAGAAATATGTAAAATTATTATAATATGCTAGTCCTTTGCAGTTGTATGCAAAAGTTTGGTGGCCCCTGATCAAATGACATGTTTTGTTGATGCTATAAGTGAACATAAATGAATAAATCATAAAATATATAATATCATAAAATAAAATAAAATATAAAAAAATCATAAAATGTATAATATGTGCCATAACGATGCACAGGCTACATTTTATTTTTTCCCCAATATGTTAAATTCAGCAAAAAAGATGTAATAGTATATAGAAGTGTGCAGATGTGTGTTCTCTGTAGAGGATGTGTAACTTATTTTCATAGAAAAATCAGCAAAACATGTAATTCGACCAGGGGCACTCAAACTTTTGTGTATGACTGTATGTAGTAATTATTATAGGATGCTGTAAAAAAATAGTTTCAGTTAAATTAAATTACAGTAAAAGATATTAAATGTGTCCAGAATAATGAATGGAGCTGTAGATTATTCTAAAATTACTGCATGGAGTTATAATATGCCTTATATCAAAAGTAACAATCACATCTCATAGCAGTAACATCCTCGTTGTTGCCAAGATGCTTGAAGTATTGAATGCAGCATCTAATTATTATATATGATTATTATTGTTATTGTATATAAAATAACATCAATGATGTAACTTAATGTAAAGAAAACAAAGAAACACAAAGCGATACATTAACAGTTTGTTACAGTAGCTGCCATATTTCGCCAGATTGTTACTAAAACCATAAGCACTGCAGATCCGGCAGCGGCAGAAGTATCTCAGGCCTGTGAACAGAGATTGCCTGCCTGATGTCATAATGAAACTGGATTTACCGTTCAGAGGCCACCAGAACGGATCTAGGATCAACAACTAGCGGTCATGCCACATCGATATGATGGAGATTTACTGCTCAGAGGCCAGAGGGGAGAGAACCTGCTGACTCTCAGCAAATGATCAGGCTGACATTTACTCAGGCAGAGCGACACGGGGCGCATTAGAAACACAAAGTAGCTTTGATGTGCTATAACGACCTTGGACTGTTATTAGATCTGGCTGGCGTTCGGCTCTGAAGAAGCACAGCTAAAACGCTGAGCTCTGCATTTAAAGACAAGCCGTTTCAGTGGACAGCGTGACGTAGCATTTATAAGGAAGTAACTTTTATTTTTATGTGTTAACTGTCCATTAAAAGTTTGGCAACACTTAGCTTTTCAAATAGTACAACAAATCAATCAGTTTACAGATCCAGATTCGGCAGACTGCCAGATAGTGAAGCGTGAGTCCTCACTTCATAGAAGGCTTTTTCACTTCTTGAGAGTTCAGTGGTGGCCTGCTTTACACCACTCCAGCCGACACTTGGCATTGCGCATAGTGATCTCAGGCTTGCGTGCAGCTACTCGGCAATGGAAACCCACTTCATGAAGCCCCCGACACACAGTTCTTGTGCTGATGTTGCTTCTAGAGGCGGTATGGAACGGTAGTGAGTGATGCAACATATAGTATAATATATAGATGCCACATATAGCAACGTAGAGGATAGGCGATTTTTACTTGCTACACGCTTCAACACTCAGCGGCCCAGCTCTTGTTACTCCTGTTGCTTCCATTTTACATTAATAGCACTTACAGTTGACTGGGGCAGATCTAGCAGGGCACAAATTTCACAGAATTGTGGCGTCCGTGACAGTGCCGCATTTAAAGGCACTAATTTCTTAAGTACAACCCATTCTACTGCCAGTGTTTGTCTATGGAGATTGCATGGCTATGTACTTGACTTTATACTCCTGTTAGCAGTGGGTGTGGCTGAAACACCGGAATCTCCACATATTTTTGGTCATATAGTGTATATATGGAAACTAAGCTACAAATGTAGCCTGTTTGGTTTTTTTTTGTCTTTGTGATGTCATGAAAACCAATACATTTACAAATATGCATTTGTTTTTTCATAGTTTAACTCCAGAAGTTTAGCCCCGCCCATTCACGCTGAAGTTGTAAGAATGTTTCTGTCAGGACTGCTTTTTGAATGAAGCTAAATACAGAGCAGCCAATCACAGAACAGTCATGTACAAATATCAGTCTTAAATGCACAGTAACAAAAACAGCCTGTTTAATTTTAAGGGACAAAGAGAGATTGTAAAGTGTTTATGTAAAAATGAATTACTGTTTTTGGTACATAACACCACATAAATGCCATAAGTGGACCTCAGAGGGAAAAAACATGTTTACATTTTTACTTTTTTTATTTTATTTTTAAAATACTTAAAACTACTTACCCAAGCTCATCCTGCTAAAGCCTGAGTATACTGATAAATCAATATGAAGAGTCAGTGTTGTTAAGTGTGTTTGAGGGATGGTCAAACTGAAGAGTCTTCTCAGTAGTGGACGTGTTCATGAATGATAAGCTTAGCATCAGTGTTGAACTGGACTTGTGCCTGCATTTTACATTCAAGAGACTTGGGTTTTAGGAGGCCTGCAACAACTTATAAAACACAAAAGTATAAAGCCTTTATATGGGCTGAAATGATTAGTGAATTTTTCATGAAACATATTAATAAAACTGCCAACCAATAGCAGCCAGGAAATGAAGTGAAAATGAACAGGACAGTGAGTAAATTGGGTATAAATTTAGTCCCACTTTATATTTTGTTTCTAATAACTGTTTAGTTACATATTAACAAAATATGTAATAACAATACAGTAAATACTGGTGATGTACTCACTGTTACTGATAGATTATAGTGTCCGCTTAGATTTAAAAGACTTATGTTTATGTAGATGCTCTCAAAATTACAGATTCTTTGTTATTCATCCTTGTGATATGATCAGGTTACTTTATTACAACACAAATATTCCACAGTAACTATGTGAAAGTTACACAAGCATTGTACTGCAGTTAGCTAAAAGTTTGGAAAGTTGGCAATTCCTGTGCAGATGTGGTGTAAGCTTCATAATGTAGGTAACTACTAGGTAATCTCTAGTTGCAATCAGAAAAGTCTTGCTGAAAACAGCAGTTCAGCCTGTTACAAATGTGTAATTACATAAGAGTAAATGCATTCTTACTATTATGATAGTCTTGTGTAATTACATGAGTAAAAATGTAACTTAATAACTGTATTTACATAATGTATGTAACTGTAATACGGTAATCCATCTATAACAGTCAAAAACATCACCAGTAGTTAGTGTTGTTAAAGTGTAACTACACAGTTATAATATGAAGTGGGACCAAAGCTTTCACTGCAGATTTTTTGCCATGTGTCCAATCAAGATTTATTCTAAATGTGTTCTAGACGTATTCCAAAAGACGTATGAACATATTATTTTTTATATATTGTAATGGAATGTGTTACCCAGTCTTCAGCCAGCGCTGCTCTGGATACTGACTGGACAAACTGTTGTTCAGCGTAACACTTTATCATACATGGCAGTGCTGAATTATTAGCATTAATGTATTGTGAACTGTTCACTCATTACAGAAGAGAGCATGCTGTGCACCCCCACATCGCGAGAGAGCTTTGAGCGGGTTTCTCACGCTGGCCCAGCACTTCCTCCAGGCTTTCCTGCCCCGCTGCTCTTTCCAGAAGGCCTGTCTTCCATAGAAACGCTCCTCACCAACATACAGGTAAGAGCCGTTCTCTGAAACAGCACAGGTGGTGCTCTCCTCAGAAAAGCTTGTGTATCAACAGTACCGTTCCAGTGGAAACGGGGTTTTGTTGTAAACACCAAGGTGTTTACAGTTTCCTTTTTTTTTCTGGAATGTATGAACTTCCTAAAATGCATCTGTTGTGACGATGATGGTACAGGTGCTGCCTCGGGAGGAGCTCATAATAGATGAATAATTGATAGATGGCAATGATCCAGTACAGTACAGTACAGTCCAGTACAGGGGGTCAGTATATCAGCTGGATCGGAAGGAAGAAAAGACTGATTTCACTTCAGTTCTGTTAGAGAACGGCTTCCTGTACTGCAAAATATAAAACACAGTAAAATAAATCATGTTATAACATCACTAACCACATGATAGTGTCATGTTATAAAAGTGGATAAGGTATTCATGTGTTTGAGTACTCGGTACACAGTATAAATAACTATATGATACTGTGCAAATATCACAGACCACCTTTCATTTATTTCAGTTCCAGTCAAAGTGGTCATATTAAATTATTATGTAGTTTTCAGTGTCAGGAAAAACAAACAAGAAACATATATTTAACAGGAAATTACAAAGAAGCCTCAACAGGATAACTTATGAAATCCGCCAGCATTTAGTGAGTCCACTGTTTACCTTTCTTACATCTTCCTTTCTTTTCAGGACACTTGCGTTCAGCTTTTCAAAGAAAGGGATATATTTCCACACCTCCAAAGTTCAGTCTCAGAAGTTGGCTATATTTTCTGCTTTTCATGATCCAGATATTTCCAAACACATTCAGTGGTGTTGAGGTCTGGACTCTGTGGTGGTCAGTCCATTGTTCATAGAACACTAGCAGCTTTTTTGTTTGTCCTTTTTTTCCAGTAAGGGCTTCTTGACAACAGCACTTTCTTTCAGATCCATAGTAGAGGTCTGCATGGGACTGGTTTTTCAGTCCCGCTCCCACCCGCTGCCGCAGAATAACTTGTCGCACTCCTGCCCGCAACCAAAATGTTTTGACCCACACGTGAGCTGAGTGTAGAGCTAGCTATAAGCCAAACACCTTGCTTATACGGCATGGCTGTGGCCGACTACAGCCTGTTAATAAAGCACAAAGACTTGTGCATAAGCTGTGTGTCTCCTTTAATAGCGGTAAACCTTGTATCTCCAAAATGGTAACTTAACAGGAGAAGGAAAAAACATACTTTAAATGGAACTTTAATGTAAATTCCAAGTATTTCGGAATTCACACACAATGTAAAGGACAACAGGCACTTTCAAATTACATTAAAAAATTAAAAACTACAAAAATGGAGATAAAATGTTTTTATTCCTACAGCAGCGATATATATGTATATTTATATTACAAAATAAATAAGTAAACTTTTGCAGAGGTCACATTTTGTTTTTTTCCAACATGAAAATAAACAGTAATTGTGCATTAAAATGTACAGAAGTGTGTTCCCTGTAGAAGATGTGTTGACTTATTTTAACTCACTTAGAAAATCAACAAAATTTGCAATCTAACCAGGGGCGCCCAAATTATCGCATACAACTGTGTAGTCTAAATCAGTAAAAACATTCTTATGTAGGTTTTCAAGACTGAATTAACACCAACTCTGTAAGCCTTTCCCAAAAATGTAAACATTTCTGTCCAACATAAGCGCACATTAAGCTTCCTTATACATTTTGCTCAAACATTTTAGTTCAGTGTAAGTAAACAAAGTAAACATTTCAGTCCAGAATCAGTCTTAACCAAAACTCTCCACATGCCATGTGTTTTTGTTTACAGGGTCTGCTGAAGGTTGCTATAGACAACGCGCGGGCTCAGGAGAAGCAGGTGCAGCTGGAGAAGACAGAGCTGAAGATGGAGCTTTATCGGGAGAGAGAGCTGCGCGAGACGCTGGAGAGGCAGCTGTGTGTGGAGCAGAAAAACCGAGGTCAGTATCTTCCTCAAACGTTGCGCCTGCCATGGTTCAGGTTGAGGATGTGGTTAGAGAAAGCTGAGCTCAGACCCCAGATGAATAACATCAGTCTGATATGCTGGAGTCGTGCTGTATGTGTGCTGTCAGAGCACTTCTCTAGGCTCAGCTTTTACCAGGTGCGTTGATGCGTCGTAATACAAAATAATGATAAACAAACAACTTATTGTGCAGCTGTAGATGTTGGTTGATTGATTATGGATGTTATAGTAAACTATGGCCAGACAAAAATTCTCTGGGTATTTGCAAGAAATGTTAAACAAGAAAAAAGAAATTGCTGTATTGTTTTTACTGTCTTACGTTGGCCTGACGAAGCAGTTGCTGTGAAATTCCATGTCGTTGCTAGACCATTGCTATAGTATCCCAGGTGGTTGCTAAGGTGTTAGTAGGGTATCCCAGTTGGTTGATGTAGTGCTGCTAGGTCATTCCTATGGTTTGCTAGGTGGTTGCTAGTAAATATATAAATATATATATATATATATATATATATATATATATATATATACACACACATATTTGCACATATGGTAACACTTTCTATGAATGTCACCTTTGTAAGCATCTATAAACACATTTATAACATGTTATAATGTATTCATAAAGGCATTATAAACATGGTTATAAATATTTATAAAAAAGAATTACACTGAATTACACTTTATAGCCATGTTTATTATACATTATGAATTGTTAATATAATGCATTATAGATAGTGTTAATAACATGTTATAATGTCAGTGCCAAAGAAGTCATTCCCAGCTTGGAGAGCGTAAAGTAAAGACAAATACCAAGCTAACGGTGATGTACATTACCTTTCCCACATTGGGTAAAACACTGATGGCAGCCCTAGTTTAAACTCTGACATTTGAAGCCTGTAATGTGCTTTATTATGTATGTTTTACTGTTTCAGTAAATCCTTCAGTAAATACTTCAGCTTGAAGCCTCACCCTTAACACTGGAGGAGGCTTTAGTACAGTATGCTTCACTTTACTTAGAGCGGACAAATACAACTCATGAGCTCTTATAATTAGTTATGATCAGTACTTATAATGTATTATGTTAACAATTCATAATGCATAATAAACATGACTATAACATATAGTGCATTTTTATAAATATTTATTATTTATGTTTATAATGTCTTATGAATGTATTATAACATGTTATGAATGTGTTTATGGATGCTTACAAAGGTGACATTCATAGAAAGTGTTACTGCACATATATATTTGTATGTGAGAACTGTATGTAACGTATGTAAAAGTGTGGATGAATTCCACCATTCATTTCCTATGGGAAAAAAACATTTAAACGAACAAAAAACATATATGCGATCGGTCACAGAAGCACAAGCACACTATTTTTATAAAGGTTCTACAGTCCTACAAAGTTTTGTGGTTTTAGCTCAAAACTGTGACCCATGAAAATGGTACAATAAAAAGCATAGAATAAGGAACAATTTAGCCTTCAGAACTCTTTTTCTTCCAGCAGATGTTCTGTTAAAGTGGGAAAAGTGAAAAACAAAATGATCAGCATATTGATGCTACTGTTTTAGAAATACTCCAAGTAAATCTGGCTAGCCTGTTAAAAACCAGGTTTTCAGCCAACTCATCATGTTACATGATCTTCATCTTCATCAAATTCAATTCCACATACATTAAAGTATAGTGACAACAAAACATACAGTTGACCAGTTTTTGCCCCGAGCGCAAACACTAAGCTGTCAACAGAACAAAACGATTTAGACAGCGTTCTCTGCTGCTATGCTGATGAGGAAACTGGTGTATCTAATCACTCCCTTTTCCAGATTACATTCAGCCTCCGCCCTCCAGGCAGAATTAGATTAGACCTGTTGAACGAGTGTTATTCTCTACCAATTTCAATATGCAGTCAAAACTTATAAGCAGTGTTTTTGCTTATAAGCTTTTTTGTTAGAAATGCAAGCTGAAGGTCATTAGGAAGCTAGAAAGCACAGCTTTTCTGCAGAGGTGTAGTCTTAAGGAAAACGTGGGTATACTATAATTCTGCAACAGCCCAGCACGAAAGGTATATATATATATATATATTATATATATATATATATATATATATATATATATATATATGAGAAATGGTATATCTGTTACAAGCTTAGAATAAATCTAATTGGATTTCTTTTATAAAGTTATCATAGCATAGCATTAGCATACTACTACTAGAACCCAATAGGGGTGCTAGCAGAAATAAGTGTTATTGTAGTTTGTAGGTGTTTTTTTCCTCCTTTTTGCTCAAGTTTTGACACCTATGGCCTGAACTGAAGGCCGCCTCTGAAGAAACTGTAAAAGAACTGAAGGAGCTCTATTAGTCACGGTTTACCACAGTTTTCCAAACAACAGTAGCAACAATGGAGGAGCTTCAAGTTCTGTTTTCCCCTTTGCTCTGCATTTATGTGAAAAGTCGTAGCGCTCCTTTTTTACATTTCTCAGACTGAAACAGCTCAAAATAGAGAGACACAAAATTGCATCTACAGACAGTCAATAATGTTGTAGTTAATCTGATGACAGAGTTATGGGAAGGAACATTTTGTTTGATTATTTTAGTTAAAAATATATGAGTCATTTTCCATTCGATGGGTGAAATGGCCACTAGGGGGCCTGCAGAAAGAGGTTAACTGCTTGTTAGCTGTGAATTTTGAATTATTGTTTATCAGTTCTCTTCGTAAGTGTTTTTTCTATGTTATGATGCATTGACTGGCATTTAAGCTTGATACCATTAAACCCTCAGAGGTGAGCCATATTGAGTCGTTGCAGGTTCTGATAAATCTGCTGGACAGCATCGGCCAATGTTATCGGCTAACTGATGTGTCAGTCGTGGCCCAGTTGGGAGATGGTCATAAAACAGAACAATTACAGTGACAGGGATACATGCAGCATTAATTAATGTTGTTTAATTATGAGGCTCGTGTTTTAATATCGCCCACACCGTGCTTCAGCTGGCAAATAGGAGTGCAAGTTCAGCATTTTCCTTTAGCAGGGTACACACACGGGCACACACACACGAGCAAACATATACATGCATGAGCAAAAGCACACATAACATACAGAGAACACACAGATAAAGATGCACAAGTAATTAGACTTTGTGATTAGAAGTACATACAGTGATATTAGCATTAATGATTTATGATGTCTGTAAACAGAAAGGCTGTGTTAATAATATTCACCCTCAGCACTTACGATAAAGATAATGAATCTTGTACATAATACATCAAATCAATTGAGTTCTCCATTACGGAGACGCTCCTTCGTGCTATAATCCACGGACTGGTTTGCTGCCTTGTCTCTAATGGTGAATGAATAGACTCTAAATTGGACGGCTGATTCCGGATCAGTTCATAAAGAGAAGGCCTCTTATGCCTAAGGGAGCTTTAGAGCACTAATGCAAAGAATCCCACTTTTCGCTGACTCGATCCTAAACCCGGCTCCATTATTACAAACAGAGGAAAATTAAGACGTTCAGTTGAGAATTCAGGCTCATCTCACATTAGATACACACAATGCTGCAGGTTTCATGCGCATGTTTACTCACTTATGTCATTTAGGTGTAGTATTACTTCGCTTGGGGAGTTTAATTAGCCATGTATATGGAGAATGTTAATCAAATCTAATACACATGCTGCTTAGATGTATGTGTGTAAAAAATGGGTCTACAGTGTACTAATCTATATAATGCATGTGCTATATTACTTATTGCTGTTGTAGTTTTTGGAAAGCTAATATTTGGTCCTATCTGGTCCCGTATGTGGAAACATCTATGAAGTATACAGTAGCGTTCAAAAGTTTTGGATCCCTTTTCTTTAGGGCTGTCGAACGATTAAACTAATTCATCTCTATCAATCGCATTACTTTGTGCAGTTTATCGCAAGTAATCATATTTGTCATGTTTGCTCTAATTTCGTTGCCATTTATAAGCTGAAAGCTACAGCAGAGTCAAGCTACAGCGCGTGAGGAGCTGGGCTTTAGGTCGTTTATGCTGAAATTATGAAGAGGCTGAAGTTGGCTTGTTCTCCGAATTTGCTGTTCCACCTTAAATGGTGCAGTATTACATTCCGCCGTCACGCTTCCCAGTTCTCAGTCGGTCTCGCACTTCAATACAAACTCCAATTCCCAAGACTCCTCAGTTTGTCATGTGAATCAGCCAGCCAATCAGCATTCAGTCAGCAGATCCCAGTCACCTGAGTACTGATTATGTTCACCTGTTTGCTTATGTATGTTATGTTTGTTCCTCTCACACATTGTGAAGTATTGCCTCTGTTCTGTCAGTGCATAGCAAGCCTTTCTCATGTTTTGCCGTTTTCCTGTTATGACCTGTTTTGTCTCTCGTTGTCGTTTTTCGGATTAACCACTTTGGCTCAGTTTAACTGTGTTTTGGCTTTTAGGTTTCGACCCTCGCTTGTTTCTCTGCTTTGACTTTTGCCCATATAGCCCATGTATCTTGTTTTGCTGCTCTGGTTTTTGACCTCATCTGGTGTAAACCCTGTTCCTTAGGTGAATTCTCCTTTTAATAAACCTTCCGGTTTATTTTAGATCTGCGAGTGTCTGGTTAGTCAACCCAGCATTATATCTATATGGGAATAAGAAGCTAACTTCAGCTTGTTGGAACTGTGGATTGTTGAAAGGGTCAAATTAGGAAAATGTTTTAATGGCATAAAAAAATTAGTGGGGTTAATTAACAACATGTTACCTTTGACGCCACTACTTTTCATATAAATATCTCTGGTTATTTTATATGCAGTAACTGAATGCAGATTTAATGACTCTAAATTGTGCTACGAAAGATGACTTTTCAGTGTTTTAGTCAATATTTAAAGTATTTTGGCAATGTAATAATATTAATAAATAATAATTATTATTATAATACTGTAATTATCTGTTGATAACAGTTTCATTAAGACTATTATAATAATTAATAAATGATTATATTAAATAAATAATCAGTTATTTTACATTCATCTACAGCGCTGTTCATCATTCTGGACGTAGCTAACGTTCATTTATTAATTCATTCTTTCATTTATTCATTCATTTGACAGCTTTCTGCTACATATTTGTAATTATCTAAACTTGTGAACATGGACCAGGCTGATATATCAGTTATCTGCCACTGTGCTGCTTTTATATTATTAAGATCATTAATTCCATTCTTCTGTAGTTTTTCAGTGCTACAAACTGAGGCTTTCTGAGCACTACTGTTTTCTAATTAGTGCCTGATGCACTGTGTGTGCTACAGGAGTTACATTTTCACCCTGTATGCTTGTTTTCTCCTCTCCAGCTCTGATCCAGAAGCGGCTGAAGAAGGAGAAGAAGACGAAGCGGAAGCTTCAGGAAGCTCTAGAGTACGAGTCCAAGCGGCGTGACCAGGCTGAGCAGACGCTGCAGCAGACGTCCACCAGCGAGCGCGCCCGCACTCCAAACGGTGGGAGAACATACCTGATTCATCCACACAGACTAGCCCTGAGGAATTTAACCATTATCCAATTAAAGCTGCACCTTCAACAGTACACAAGCAGACACTATCAGGGTTATCAGCGCTGAGCGATACATATTGTCTTTACTTGTACACCATGAAACTGACATACTGTGATATGGCTTTTCAGTTTTAGCAATATTTTTGATAAATAATGAGCATTACATCCATGATATAATGGCCATTCAACAGTGGTGTTCCTGTTGTCAAGCAATTTGTTTTATGTTTTTTTTTATTCTGTTTTGTTCTCTTTACCCATAGACCTGACAGTTAACTGCAACATATGTCATTTACATGGTTTTACATGAAACTGGCATAAATTAAATTACTGTTTAGATGATATGACAAGTTTGAAATCACTTCTCATATTAATAATGGTTATTCATTAATAATGTATACAGTGTAGATTGCAATAATATAAACTTGCTACCAAATTGTAAACCAGTTTTGGTTTATTTTAAAGTATTTTCATAACAATGAGGAGTTGTAACATGTTTTCAAAAAGCAAAATGTCATTAATTATTAATTTAATTAATTGACTATTAAGTGTATTATTATCTTTATTAATTTGATCAGCGAAATTAGTTTACCAATTTTTAAATATGAGGCATCCTGGATATTGATTTTATTGTAACATCACTCTCGCATGTTGCACAGCTGTGTCAATTACTATGGACCCTACAGCTCTATTATCATTCATTTTTACAGCTGCCTGTAAAACTTCCTACAAATTGCTTGAAACATACAGAATATTAGCATCATAACCATCTGCAAAAAATGGTGTGTTATTATTGAAAATTAGTGATTCTAATCTTTGGAACAGTAGTGTACAGTACTCTGAAACAGTCAGAGACCACCTTTCTTTCATTCATTTCCCGTCAAAACAGCCATCAGGTTTCAGGAGATATGCTGAGATTAGATATGAGACGATCCACTTGCATAAGAAAAATAATTGAAAAAAGCAGGAGCTTCCACAACTAGAGTTTCAGAAAATGATTGAAAGAAACGAAGAAAATGGGACTCCTAACAACCACCTGCAAGACCTGGTAGACCACCAGCATTGTCCCCATCACATAAACAGCACTTAAAGCTTTCATCTTTGAGAGAGAGGAGAAAATCGAGCTCCACTCCTGATTCAGATCTGAATAAATCCACAGGTGTTTCTGTCCATCCTTCCACTGTGAGACGACAACTCAACACTATGGGTCCGAATGGATGTGTGACTGACAAGAAGCTCTTACTGAGAAGAGAAAATAGACAAAAAAGAAGAACATTTACAAATAAAATGAAGAAGCTGTCGATGTTCACAGAACAACAGAGTGGCTGCCCCAGAGTCCAGACCTCAACATCACTGAATGTGTTTGGGATTATTTGTATTGTGTGAAGCAGAAAACGCAGCCAACTCTGACGCAGAACTTTGGTGGTGTGGGAAAATAGATTTGCAGATTTCTTTAAAAAAAAAACTAAAAAAGCTGGTCGCCTGAAAAGAATGGGAACACTGTGTGTTTTCTGCTTTTTCTCTGTCACTGAAAAACAAATAACTTGCTTATTTTTGACTGGAAATGAAGTAAATTAAGGTAGGGTCTCTGGCATTTGCACAGAACTCTATGTAAAAGGTATGTTTCCTCTCTGGAAATGTGCTTTCTGTTAGACAACACTCACAGTATTGTCTAAGGTTCCCTTTGGTGTGATCTAAGAGAAGAAAAGGGCAGAACAGTCTGATCAGAATAAGCTATACTGGTTTTGAAAAACATGCTTTTAGCAGCACTCAATATGAAACCACTTTAACTTAAATATGCAGACTTAAATATCTCAGTACTGTGATATATTTGCAAAAATATCCGTATCGCCCAGTCCTAATTAGACTGGTGATGCACTGCAGGATTTTACAGTTGTAGCAGATCATAAATTGCTTTAATTGTGGCTGCGATTGCGGCATAAAAGGAATGAAATGAATGACAAAACTCAATGTGTCTTCAGAGCCTCCTACTCAGGAAATGGAGACCGACCTAAGCAACGACAGGACAGAAGCAGAAAGGACGATACCAGGTACTGTCCACTTCTGTGCATCCATCTTCACAGTCTGGGATTTGTAGTCTTTCTGTCACGGTGCAGGTTAGGCTTTGGTCTTTTAATGGGTTCACGGGGGTTTAATGGCACACAAAGGGTCTGTTCGGTAAACTCTACCCAGAAGTCTCAGCAGTGGCACATGTGACCAGTAAGTGTGTCAGGAAGCCTTTGTTGGAAGATTAAACATCTAAAGCATTGAGAGGGAAATTAAATTGAATGTCAGTGAAGCAAAAAAAAGAACGTGGGGGCAGTAATTAATGGCTCTCTTAATTGTCCTCATGAAATATTTGCATGGGCATAATTTACATAATTTACATGTAGTAATTAATCTTTCAAAGGATTTTCTCTCTCTTTTTTGTCTTGGTCGAGAGCGCGTGGGCACGCTTTGTTTCGGTTGACATTTATTCTAATGCGCTATCTTCTCCCTTAACAAACCTTTCATCTGGTTTTGAAATCTGCTCGTGTTAGAACACAACCTTATGGACCGCGCCATTCATTAAACACTGCGGGCGACATCAGTCAACTTTGGCAAATGTTCAAAAACTGTTTTTTTTTCCTCTCGCTTCATTAGTATCCCGGTTTTGTTTCACAGACGGACGGCTTTTCCTGAAGTCCACGGTGATGTACTGAAGATACGGGGCGGGGCTAAGGCACGCCAATCAATCCGGAGAGTGAAGAGGCGAGAGTCGAGCGCCTGAGTAACGACAACGATCGATTCAGTCGGAGGACCGGAGACGTTTCAAGGACCCCATAGGCTTGATGTCCATACATTACTGCAAGAACTTAAAGAGACGTTTGCAAAGCATTGGAAATCAATGTTTTCAGCGTGCCTCTCCACATTCTGAAGTCAAGGCAATCCGCCTGTATCTTGTTTCTATTCGCGGACGCACGAGTTGAGAAACCTTTTCTAGGATATTTAAACCAGCCGCACTACACTGAAGACGAGAATATCTAAATCAGAAGCTCTCTTTTATACCCCTTCTGCTATTTTACGTTGAAGTACCTATAAAGCATTATTTCATGTGTAGGGGTTTGAGTTTATTTACTTGTTTATCAAATATCAATGTGACATTTAACAAGATGTGTTTGGTTTTTTTTGTGTAGTTACCATGTTATTTCCAAAAGGGAGGTTGTCCATAATTTTTTGGTTCTGTCATTGTTCTATGTGGGGTTTTAGCAGATGTCTCAAAAAAATAAAAATGTCATGAACATGGAAAGTGTACATAAAAATGTAGAGATAATATTGTGCATTGTATGTGGTAGAGCTCTTAGGTAATCAATACAAACCTCTTTAATGAAATATCTTGTATCTAAGTTATTATTATTGTTATTTTTTGGCTCCATAATCCATCATCATACCCGACTAGGAGAGCATGCTGGCATGTCATTACTTTTGTCGTGTCCATCTGATCTACAATAAAGTATTTTTTCACCTGGTTCAAAGGAAGTAGCTTTCCGAGGAGTTTCGGATTACATGCGTTTTAAAGGTAAATTACTAACCTCCACAGTGACGTGTTTGGGCTTTAAGGGGGTTATTCTGGAATACAACTGTTGTGTGTTATGTAGAATTCTGTAGCAGAGCTTTGAATCCCTCAGCCTCCTCAGGTTTGACCAAATTCACAATTTTGTACTGTTTTCATGATTTCTGTGAAGTTCTGTCACTACAATTCCCAGCATGCATTACACAAATACATCCTACAAACATTGGGAATCTCTGTGGCATCAACTAACAGTGCTCTCAAGTGCAAGTGGGGTGGTAGCAACTCGTTCACCCAACGTGTGGAAGATAAACAGAAAACTGAGGTTGTGAAATGGGTGTTGTAGTTTATTAGCTAACTGGTGTCCATTGGTTTTGGCCTACTTTACTGGTGTCTTTTTAACTCAAACGAAGTAAAAATGCTGTAGGTTAATGTTTAAAATTCACCTTACCATCACCATTTATTGTTTCCATCCATCCATCATCTAAACCGCTTATCCTTCTGGGTCGCTTATCCTTCTGGGTGGGGTGCTGGAGCCTATCCCAGCTGTCATTGGGCGGAAGGCCCATTTATTGTTTTTTAAGTATTATTTATTATTTATACAATTTATCTGATTGCTATTCGTTACTTGACTGTTCCCTTATGTCCTCCGCCATGACGAAAACGATGTTGACATCACAGCTCGGCCAAATCGTGCTGCAATGAAAATAAAGGCGTAGACTTCATCGTCCAGCTGCGAAGGGCATTCATTGGTGCCCTTCTGGTGGGAAACTCGTTTTTCCAATAAAACTGAGACCACTTGAAAGCAGCGTTGTCATGATGGTTAGCCTAGCCACCAAAGTATAGGCTAATAAATACAATCAAGCTAGCATTAGTGTAACTTTTGCATTAGTCGAACAAGATCGTAAAGAAAGCTGATCGTAAAGAAGGTAACTGTCTTTATTCAGCACAAAATTGTGCTGAATAAAGAAAACCATTTCTCTCATTTCAGCAATCCATTCCCTCCACTGTAATGACAGTTTGAAGGGGGGGGGTTCATAGTTCATAGTTGTTCCTAGTCTTCCTAGTCTCAGTTTTTAGTCTCAGTGTTTACAACAGATGTAGCACAGGTTACATTTGTCATTTTGGACAAAGTGCCCCTTAAACGTCCAGGAACCAGGTTACCATGGAGCAACTATGGTGCAAGAGCGACACTGTGTAGTGCAGGGCAGGTCAAACTTACTCCTGGAGACTTAATTGGACTCAATAAGAATAACCAAAAGTATCTCTTGTTCAACATGAACTGGCTGTGAATCACCTTGCCACATTTGTTTTTGCCAAGACTCTACCCTGGCCAAATTCCAGTCCAAAGAAAAACAGCCTCCTACTGTCTTGTCTAACTCCCTCCCACTGAGCAAATTTAAGATATGTGGCTAAACAGATATCTATTTCTGAATGTGAAAAACAGTGTTATATTATTGGTCACTGGATTTTCCCATAGGGTAGGTGGCTAGGGAAATTCAGGGGAGTGAAATTTTATTCTTGGTTCCTGTGATGGTGAAGTCTGGTTTCAGAACAGTGTTGAACCTACATTTTGCAGTTTAATATGAGACTAATGTAACTCTCTGTGCAGAAAACAGCAGCCTGTTAACCTGTAAAGGGGCCGTTACATAGAAATGTTCATTTTCTTCACCTTATTAGGTTTAACGTAGTATGTAAACACTGTTAAAGTTTCAGACCATACTGTTAACACCACAATCTGTACAGCCCATTTTTAGAAACTAAGCTGCAAAAACAGCATGTGTTGAATTCATCATCTTTGTGAGGTCACGAAAACCAACACGTACATATATCCAGTGTTTATGCAGTTCATGCAGAAGTGAGAATGTAGAGGGCTTGCACATTTTTAAACATGTGTTAAGGTATTTGCCTAATTTTCTTCACAAAACATTATTTTCATTCAGAGAATGTGGTGCTACTTATAAATAAAGTAAAAATGAGTTTAAAAAATCTGGTTTAGCTATGATTCAGTGAACTGTGTTGACGCTGCAGTGTGGAGATGTGTTGATTGGTACGTTCTGATGCTTTTCCACACTTAGTGTTAGCATTAGTGATATTACCACTCAAACACTAAAGTAATTAAACATTGCCATGTCACTTAGCGTGGGGAACACTGGTCTGGCCAGTTACAGAGCTGAACATTATATAAAACGACATTAAAAATCTAACATTAAATCACATAATATGACCAAGAGTCAGTGAGGCATAACTGACTATGTTAACTTTACTAATCTCCACAACATTGACTATATTCTGGTACACATTGGACAGATAACTTTAGATGACCTTGTTGGGTAACTTGTCATGAGACCCTTAACTTACCCTCATTGTCATGCAAGTCATTTTGGAAGAAAAGCTTGTAGACCCTGTCAAACTCTCTGAAAGTGAAAAACGCTTTACCAAACAAATCTTTATTGGAAAAATTAGGTCTATTTCTTAATAAAGGCATAAAAATAATTGAGTCCTCTACATCAGAGAAATTGTAAAGCTGTCTACATTCTCATTCATAAACGCTGCTGCTGCTGTTTTTCCCAACTATGTTAATTTCCAATTTTTCTGATTTTTTTGTCGAATATGTAAGTGTGAAAAGGGTTCATTGTGCTTGCATTATAATCCATTTTAGAACAAAATGACATGCAAAACAATGTTTGCTTAGCTTGAAGTGTTCATGTGAAGCATGTAATTTTCCTAATGCTGTGTTCACATGTTGGCAGTAGACGGATGATGGCAAACCAGATTTTCCATTGTTTTCAATTGAGCCGTGACAGAAAATTCTGCCGCCACCAGCGACATTGTTCCACAAACCTCAGCGGTAAGCACAATGTTCCACCAAGAGATCAGTTTTCATCAACCACAGTGGTGAAATAAACCGGATGTAGATTGTTTTTGTAGCCAAGGATGCCAAACGTCTCATTGTTCAATTCCAACAATACGTCAAAAAACTACAGAGCATCCTCCTGACTTTTTCCTCATTCAATAAATGATCTACACCACTAAAGCTCTCCTCTGATAATCATCAATTTTTGCAGATAACAATATTACCAAGCCAACATTTGCATGGCTTCATGCTGCCATCGGGTGCTATGAGGCACGGAACGCTAGTATGAACACAGCATACGTGTTAAGTTGCTTTTGTAACTGCAGTTGCGGCCCGTTAATGCTAGGGGCAGCAGAAGCAGTCCTTTTTACTGTGCCCGTGTACTCCAATTACACTAAACACCCACAATGGCGTCATTAGGAAGACTAAAGACCGTGTGTCCAAACTGACACCTGCCTGACCGCGGCACGCGACGAAATAAGAGATGCGTCAGAGCAGGAAGATAAGGCTAATGTAATCTAATCAGAAAGGGGATATTATGCATTAGCGCGCATACTGGCCACAGCGATCAGAGCGGTCTGGTGGCTGAGGTACAGTCAGAGAACATGCTATCTAAACAAGTGTGCAGCAGGGATGAGTAGTAGGGCCCACAGACGGATAATGAAAGGGCAAAAAAAGAGCAGACGGCTTTTCAGACCTTTTCCCTGCCATTACTAATTCATACCGCTCTTTCTTGCTCCTAATGAGGGGCACAGAGAGCCAGAGAGAGGGAGAGGGAGAGGGAGAGAGAGAGGGAAAGAGTGTGTTTAGGTAAAGGGAGAATGGTGCAGGGATAATGTGCCGTGAAATTGAGTCTCATTGGTGAAGGGCTGGGGTTGGGGGGGTGCTGCTGCTTTCGACTCTAAACTCTCCTCACAGGAAATGCCGGTAAATTGAGTGCTCTTGACCCAAGAGTGTATTGTTTACTTTGATCAACCTTTACTGTGCCTCTCTCTCTCCTCTCTCTCTCTCTCTCTCTCTCTCTCTCTCTTTTCCCCACTAAAAAGGAGGAGAGAAAGGGAGAACATGCCTTTCTGCTGCCTGCAGGTCCACAGTATGAATTCTAAAAAGGACCTTTAGATGGACCCAAACCAGATGAAAGTACTTTGTATGTTTCTGAAAGATGCTAAAGGTTGTCTGACTTCAGGTCCAAAGCCCTGGTTCAAAGCTGAAACCAAACCAGGTCATACTCCGGATTTCTCCAGTAGTAATGAACCTGAAGAACAACAGTTTATGCAGTTAAATGAGATAAGAAGATAATTCTTAAAAAGAATACTTAGGTGGCTGCCTATTGCAAAATAGGAGTTTATCAAAAGATATTTAAAACAGAAGACAGGACCTGAATGAATCCACAGGTGTTTCTGTCCATCCTTCCATTATGAGAGGACAACAACACTATGAGTCTGAAAGGATGTGTAGCTGACAAGAAGCTCTTACTGAGAAAAGGAAGTAGACAAAAAAAGAACATTTTCAAATCAAAGGAAGAAGCTGCTGGTGCTCTCAGAACAATAGACTGACCACCCCAGAGTCCAGACCTCAACATCACTGAATGTGTTTGGGATTACTTGGCTTGTGCAAAGCAGAAAATGCAACCAACTTCTAAGACTAAACTTTGGAGGTGTGGAAGAATATCCCTGCAGATTTCTTTAAAAAAGCAAAAGTGAGAATGGAAACTGTAATAAAGGTAAAAAGTGGACACACTAAATACTGAAATATATATATATATATATATATATATTTAATATAGATTTTTTTTTCTGACAACAGTGATATATCTATCTATCTATCTATCTATCTATCTATATATATATATATATATATATATATATCACTGTTGTCAGAAAAAAAAGTATCTTCAGAACAATAACTTTACAGGAAAAGGAAAAAACCTGCTTTACCTGTAATGTAAATCAATGGAACCAGACATTTGTCTAGGTAATTTTGGGCCATTTCTTTTAGTCCATTCTTTTACACACAATATAAAGAGCAACAGTAATTTTCAAAGTATGTCAAAACTGAAAAAATGACAAAAAATGGTGATGTATATATATATATATACACTA